TGGGAAGTTGTATTACTGGAATTAACCAATCAAACATAATCTGGCATTGTAAAAAACAACTGAGAAAGACAACTTTTTTTTACAAACAGAAACGTTTTTCTGCTTTTTTAGTATAAGGCAAAAATTCTTTGAGTAGAAAGGTGCAAAATGGTGATTTCTTATGGTGCAATTGATTAAGCCATATTCTTCTGGCATCCCAACCCTTTTTAACATGGACTCTACTAGTAATTTCCCTGAAGATGCATAAGCAACATAATTACATACCCTGCAGAATCATATCCTCTCTCTGAGGAGTCCTAGTAATGATAGTTCATTTCAGGATTTGGAGTAGAAAGAACAGATAAAGGAATGACAAGACTTAGGACCAGGAGGGTGTGTTTTTTATAAATCCTGTCTAAAAGTTTCTCAGACTCTGTAAAGTACTGTTTAAAATTGTGGTTTTTAGAGATAATACTGTTAAGAAAGAAATCATAGTATAGACAAACTTACTTCAGGTGCTGTAATCTCAAATTGGGCAGCACAGAATGGGTGGGCATGCTGTACAGATCCACTTATGGGAAGTTTATTATTTTTTGTTCCTCTTACAATATTTTCTTGCAAGGAAAAGAATCCTATTTAACATTGTCTAAGAAAAGGGGGTTCCTGCATGAACTTGTTGCTTCACTGTTAGATAGAGACAAGGGCATGCAAGTTGTATAACCACCAGTATAAAGAGGGACCTGCCTGTTTCTCTGCTACAGTCAGCCAAGTGTGTTTATACTGTAGTTAACAGATAGACACAGCTCGAGGCAGTCTGGAGGCCAAGCTGTGTATGTCACACAGCAGAGCATGGCACAGCACAGCCCTGGCTTTTCTCCACTCACGCTGCCTACTACATGGATCACTAGTTCTTCTGTGTACAATGGTCTTCCAGTTAGGATCATTACATGGAGTTTGCTGAATCAGCAGCACAGGGGGTTCCTTTACTTACGCTTTTGTTTTAAATACTCAGAGTATCTGAGTAGCTCAGATTCGTGCTGCTCAGTTTTTTTACACTTTACTTTTGTGAATAATGTAGCAGGGCAGGAGTCCATGTGCAGCAGGTTAGGAAGGGATGGATATTTCTGAATGAGGAGACAAAAATCTCATATCATGGGTGAAATGCTTCCTTTAAACTCATCGTTACAAGGAACTGCTAAAAGTATGTGTCCTCTAAGTGAGGATCCAGTCTCAACCTGTCCAGATCCTCATCCCAGAATCCTCTAGCCTAGAACAGGGACCTGTCTTTTTGAAGGATACATGAAGTCCCACTAATTTTGGCATTGGAGGTACCAGCCATCTTTTCTATACTACATTTGACTGCTAATGACATTTCCTAGTGAGGTGGGGAGAATCAACTTTAGTCAAACTCAGCTGGAGCATTAGGAAGACATTAGCAAATTACTCACACTCTATACCTCTTTTTTGAAGTGAAATTAACTCAGCTTTTTCCATCTTTCTCTGAGATGTCACATTTTCTGAGCCTCTCCAGGTTTTACATGTTTTTTTCGTCTTCCTTGGTCTCTGGAATTTCCCTGGACACGTACTGACTTCTCCAGTTAACATAAACTAGAAATGGACCAGAAGAGAATAATTACCTCTCAGATAAAGCAATGTACTTTTAATATACACCAATGCCAAACTGCATCTCCTTGACATACATAAACTTATTTATTTGTCCAATATTACTCAGAATCCTTTTCTGCCTTTCTGTTGACTAACTGATACCTCCCCATTTATTTGTATATTTAACTCTTCCTTCATTTTTTTTGGTGTCCATTATTGTGTCTGCTGCCATCACTAGCTTTTCTGTTGGGATCCTGGCTCCTGAGGTCAGGTATATACATATACATATATATATATATATATATATATACAGTATATATATATATATACAGGTATATATATATACTTTACTCTTGGATTGGGTACAACTTTTGCAGGTTGTACTATTCAAGCTGATAATTAAAATACTGAGAAGAACGGGATCAGAGTGAAACCCAGTGGGGTCTCCTAGCCTTCTACCCTTTGAATTTAACAGGTTATCAATGGGAACTTTTGTTCCAAGCCCCATTCTGAAACAACTCTATTCTCATCACAAACTGCTCGTATGTGAGTGCACACTCTGGAAGGAAAGCTTAACACCCAGCTTATGGCTCAAGTTCTTCCTCACCTCTGCAGACTTAGATGACACTATTGGAAAGAGACACTTTGGGAACAGGGATTATCTCTTATCTTTCATTAAGGAGTCCTTGCGTTTTCATCCTACAGCACCTTGCATGTCACTGAAGGAGTCACTAAAGTAGCTAGATGGGCCAGTGTAGTGCTTGTGTTCTTGTGTCATGCATGGTTTTGCCAGCAAATACTTAGCAGAATTCAGTAGAGAATATAAAGACATATATATATATGTCTTTATAGCATTGATTGAAAGAACTTCAGTGACAGTGGGCGAGGTCCTTAAATCAGACAGAACATATTTGGGACTGAGTTTGCTCTTCCCCTGAAGCACAACTGTGAGCCTTGAAAAGACAACATCAATAAGCTAGTTCACAGTTTCATGCACCTAGTTTCATGTGTAAGTTTGGTCCTCTGACTTTCTATGTAATTCTCATTTTTAAACATTTTTCATGATCCTACAATGCAAAAATCTTTGTCCTTCCCCTCAAATTCGTGTGAGATTTTTGTCATCCTTCCACTTTGTGAGAACAAAGAAAGCTATGGGAGCTAATCAGAACAAAGGGAATGGAAAGGGAACTGTTTAGACTATAAACAGAAAAGTAGGATTAGCTGTAGCTTCTGCTAGTACTGTAAGATGGAAATCACAGTATGCTTCAAAGAGACATGTTTCCTGAATTTCAGTTTGCATAAGGCTTGTTGTTATAGGCTCTTGGGGAAAAAAAAGAAAACAGAAAAAAGCAGTTAGAAGCAATTTGAAAAGAATGCAGTATTTTTATATTGTACGTTTCTTCCATATCAGAATTACAGGGTTTTATAAGCTGGTTGAAGAGAACAATTTACACAATGCTATTCTTCAAATAAAACGAACAAGAATACTTGTGATGGGTTGAGGTTTGAGCAAGCTTTTAGTATGGGTAGTAAGTAGGCAAAAGAAGCTTACGGATAATTGGTTATGTTCTTGCTGTGTTACAAGTGTTTATGCCTTTTCTTTTACCTCTCTTCTTTGATTTAAAATGAACTATTTTAGAGCTTTCTTAAATTTATATGTATTCTGGGAGTTCAAAATATTTTATCCGTGTCAGATAAAAATTCTACCTTTTAAGGAGACTGACAAAAATGGCTGTCAAGCAGGTGTGGGTTTCAGCAGTTAAGCTAGAGGACTAAGAAACAATTACAGGCTTTGTTTAACTTGATTAGCATGATTATCAGGAGAAAGTTTTAAAAGATGAGATATTTGAATAAGGGACCAGGCTGCAGAGGGAACAGCAAATTAGTCAAACAAAGAACTACTTAAGTCAGATAGACCAAATGTGCTACATTAGTGGAAATAGCTGCACAGGAGCCAAATTAAATCTTACTATTTTAGGAATTTTGCTGGCCCTTCTGCTAAATATTGTTTTAAGATAATACAAAATGGAGTATATGAACAATGGGAACCAAAACTGTTTACTACTTTGAAAGTACTAAAATGCAGGGTTAAATGCTGGTCTCAGCAAGAGACCAGCGGGGTGTGAAAGGTGGGGGGGGGGGGGGGGGGCCAGGCGGGGGGGGGGGGGGGGGGGGGGGGGGGGGGGGGGGGTCATACGGCACAGCGTGGTGTGAAATTGAGAGTGTGTGAAGTTGAGAGAGATAAGAGAAAGATCCACATTCAGTTTATAGAAATGCCCAAGGCCATGAATTATTTTTTCTGAATGATCACTGATGTAAGTGACCAAATATAAACCAATCACATTTGGCAGTAATTATTAAGTAACTCTTAGTAATTATGCAAACGACCTCATTCTACACTGGCATGGAACTCTTTATTTCCCGGCAGTTTTTCCCCAGTAAAGTAAACATTAAGTCATTTGGAGACAATGGCATTTGCTACAATTTTGGTCCATATTTATGAACCTTTGAAAAGGCATCTTTGGGGGTTTTGTTTTCATTTTGGGGTTTTAAAAAATTAAATCTATACACTCACAGAAGGATTTTGAATGCTGAAATGGGTATTCTAGAGGTCAAAGGTATAATTTTTCACACAGATGCAACATGAACAGGTTAAGTATTTGGAAAAAGGCTGCCATGGGCCACATTTTGTAATGTTTAGCTCTGTAGAAGCAGCTACTGAATAGCTGGAACAATGTTTTGTTTCTAAATACTGTGATCTGATAAATATCTTCCAGTGGTGAAGTGTGAAAGGTGGTGCTTTGTACAATAAACGCTTTAAATGATGGTGTGCATACATTCCTATTAACATTGTAGGGTCTACAAATTACTTAAATGAGGCCAGTAACCTCTCCACACAAGGTTTCTGCATGCTAATATGAATTTGACTTAAGCTCTTAACTTTAACTGACATAAAAATGACACTATGCAACACCTTCCTGTATCTAATTGATGATTCTGCACTTCTAGGGAAGAAATCAGGAAAAAAGTTTGATCCATTCTGATCCACCTCACAGAACCACAAACTCATAGAGCTGCGTCACAGCTACAACAGCTGACATTGGCAGGAACAATTGGAATCTGTCTAGTTCACTCCCTCACATACACACGGCTGCACAAGGTTGCCCGGTTTGTCTGTGACAGTCTGCAAGGCTGGAGACTCCACAGCCTCTCTTGGCCAGCCTGTTTGAGTGCTCAACCACAACCAGAGCAAAAAAATGTGTGTTCTTACATATATGTGTGCTCATTACCTCTTATCCTGTCACCCTGTTATTCTTCCCCAGGTGCAGGACCCTGCATTTGCCTTTGTTGAGTTTCAGACAGTTCTTCTCTGCTCAGCTCTCCAACCCACTGACGGGCCACGCAGCCCTCTGGGGTGTCGGTCACCAGATAAACTTGGTGAGGAGGCATTCTGTCTTCAGCCGGCTGGCAGCTTTTCTCCTTGAGCCACCCTGAGGGTCCCCTGCAGGCTCATGGTCAGCTTGCTGTCCACCAGGACCCCCAGGTCCTTCTGTGCAGTGCTGCAGTCCAGCTGCTTGTCACCCACAGTGTGTGAATTTTTTTCCTTTCCATGGGCAGGACTTTGCATTTTCCCTTCTTGCTCTACATCAGATTGCTGTTGGTCCAGTTTTCCTGCTCCCTGTGGATTGTAACATGACCATCTGATTTATCAGTAGTCCTTGGCACCTTATAATAATGGCATTTCTTACAGATTTAACACTAACTGCTGCATGCATAATGAGTTTTTGCTTATTTGTCTTCTTGCTTGCTCTTTTGGGGAAGGGAGACTGTCATTTTCTGTTTAACACTTATTAAAATTATCCTTTTACTGGGAAAACACATTTTTTTATAACTTGGAAAAATTAAATATCATTTTATTCAGAAAAATTTTGGGGTTTGACACTGGCTAGAAGTCAGGCACCCACAAAAAAACCAGTCACTCATTATCCTCTGAGTACAGCTGAGCAGAGAAAAGAAAGAAAAGCTAGAAAGTTCATGGGGTGAGAAAAGAATTAGGAGAAAACACCTTAAGGCCAAAACAGGCTCAAAAAATAAAAGGTATAAAGAGAATTTTTTAAAAAGAATTTAAAGAGGATAATGAGAGCTAAAACCTTCAGAACACCTTTCCTCACCTCCCCCAGCCCTTTCTTCCTTCCCACTGACAGCACAGAGAGGCAAAATATGGGGTTTTTTTGTCAGTTTGTCACATCTATAAAATCTGTCTTCAGTTTGCTTTGGAAGAGGAGTCTCTTTTGTTATGTCGTGGGGTCCTGCCCATGGGAGACGGTTCTCTGTAAACTTCTCCAATGTGGTTCTAATTTTCACAAATCCTATGGGCAAAATAGTCTTCCCAAACTACATGCTGTGGGTAATTTTAGTTCATAAGGTATCGTCTTTTAAGGATGAGCTGTTCTAGTTTGGAAGCAAGGGTTCTCTTCCTCTATCTTCTCTCTCTCTGCTTGGGTTTCCCACTAAATTACAGTTTTCAGCATCCACATGCTCCAGCGTGAGCACCTTTTCTTATGGGCTGCAAGCAGACCTCTACATCCCCCCATACACTTCATGAATTACAGGGAAGCAGTTTGTTGTATTATAGTCCTCACCACAGCTTGCAGAAGAATCTCAGCTCTGACATCTGGAGCACCTCCTCCTCTCCTTCCCTCCTTTTCACCGACCTCAGTGTTGCCACGTTGTTCTCCTCACGTGTCTTCATTTTTAATCTGACTCGGGAGAGAATTGATGCTTGTAGGTTTGTTTGTTCTCAAGTCCTGTCAATTGAAAATTTCTTACAGGGTTTCACAGCACTGAAAAGTTGACCCCATCCGGGCTCCGCAGTGGGGAATTGCTCGTCATGCCCCTCGCTGTCGGCCACACGGTTCCCCCAGCAGCCGCGCGGGCGGTGCCAGCCACCGCGACATCGGCGCGTTCAGCGCCTCTCTTTATGTGGGGCGCCCAAAAGGAGAAGCTGCTGCTGCCACCCCTGCCCTTCTGTTTGCAGCACGGCTGGCTGAAAGCAGCTAAGCAGGCAAAGTTCACTGCGAGCGGTGCCGAGACGGCGGTGGCCACACGGTCCTGGCAGCTGTGTCGGGATGGCCCCCATCAGCTGCCTCCCCACCCCTCCGAAGAGGAAAGAGAAACTGTGCACAGTTTTTTCCTTCTTAAATATGTAATCACAGAGGCATTATGAACTTCTCTAATTGGGATAGTAATATGCTCATCATCAGAGCCTTCAGGGATTGGCTCTGCTGGACATAGTAGAACCTTTGAGCAGCTTCTCTCTCAGAAGCTGCCTTTGTGGCTTCTCCCACCCTGCACTAAAACCCAGGCTGTGTTAAACTAACACAAAACCATAATAAAATTAAAAGTACTAGGGTTGAGACTCAGTCCTATGTTATATTTCTCTTCCAAAACTTTGTTCTAGCCTTAATTTTTAAAGTCCTTTAAAAAAAATTTAAGTAACTGAAATATAATTTTGCTTTTGCGTGAGCTTGCTTTGTTTCTGCTTATTTGTCTTCTTTAAGAGAAAAAAATTATTTCATCTACAAAGCCTGAATCTAAGAGATTTTCTCCCATTGACAACTCCAATGACTTAGTGATACTGACAATTTTTTTTTTCTGTGCTGCAGCTTGCTTAATGCAGGAGAGAGCAAATCCAGCAGTAGGAGAGACAAGGCAGTATACCTCAACCCTATTCCATCCATCAGCTAAGAAAATGTAAGAAACTACACTTGGAGATTTGTTGATAGCCAGATAGTGGTGCACAGGAAGTATTCTGCTTGGCTGTGAATTTTAGTGACTTGGTAGTTATCTCAAGAACTTATCTGAGGTAGTTATTTCTATTCCAAGTGACCATCAGTTGGTTAGATATCTGTAAAGACATAGAGAGATGGCCAAAACACAGCTGAAATAATCCAAGGATCCCCTTTGTTGACTCCATCACACCCAGAATCAGAGACTGTGGTTTTAATCCCATGTCACAGTGATTATTGAGGTATTTAGAGATATTTTCATTATCTTACTTTTTCAGTTTAGCATTGGTCTTGTAAATAGTATTTTCTGTATCTCTATTAATGGGTCTGGATTTGTCAGGGAGCATTCCTGGTAAATAATTGCAGGGACTCATTGACTGTAACCCATGCTCTGATTAGCTTCACACTGTCTCAAACAGAATCTTTTAGGGAACATGGCACTCGGCACGCAGCCACTTGGCATCCATTCCATTCCCTGTGGAAACTAAGACAGTTTACTAAGGGGTCAACCCATACCATACTGCTAGAGATACCTGGGATATTCCTGGGCTAACTTACTGGGATGGGTGCAGCAGTCAGGCCTGATTTGGACACTGGGCAGTCTCACTGTACTTATTACACCTGCCTGTACAAATAATGTTGAAGACTGCAGTGGATATTTGCCAGCTTGGAGCTACAGCATGGGTGATTGAAGACATGCCAGCTATTATTTTCCAATGATGAGCCATAAAATCACATCTTCAGGAAGATTTAAATTTAACCAGTGTGTCAGTGTTCTGTGTGTTCTTCTCTTCCTGATGCTGGGATGCAAAGGGAAAACAGGATCTTCTGTGTTTAACTCTACTTTTAATCACAGGCCAGCAAGATGCAAAAATCCTTCAAATATTTATCACTAATTTACTGAGGATTCTGCAGCTTCTTTTCCAGTGACTCCAATTTCTGGTCCTGTTAAAAGCTTTGATATTTAAACAACAAACAACAGGAGGATTCATTTCATGGAGTCAGATGCAAAGGTAGCGTCTCCCTCTTGTTTTCGGACTTGAGGTTGATCCTTGGAAAATTTCTTCTCTCTGAATGCCTGTACAGCTGCTGTTGCTAAGATCTTGTACTGGATAGCTCTGCTCAACTCTGCTTTTCTTGCCTGACATTAGGAGACGGGTGGCCTCTGACCTCTGAAGTGGATGTTAGCAGGCTAGACGAATGGATAGAAATATTTCCCAAGGAAATTTGTCACCTGCTGAAGGCTGGAGACCTCCCTGAATGAAATTCAATTGCACACCATTCACAGTCTACTGATAAAAGTGATGCTTGTCTACCTAAATTCACCGCAGTAGTGTTGTTCCTGCAGCAGGTGTCCCTTCACCAAGAGATCACCATAGCTGCTCCACAGCCTACACTGAGAGAATTCCTTGGTACCTGAGTGCCTCTCTCTGTTTCATTTCCCACATGCAGCTTCTGACTCTGCTTCCTAGCATCCTTTCCACCTTCCATCCTGCCTGGCCACTTATGCCCAGACAACAGTACACTACAAGACACATGTCCTGATCTGGTACTTTATACTTTCGTCATGTGAAACTTCTGGCATGTGCCTTTTCCCTGGCACGTTTCACACATCCTTTGAACCATTTCAAAGCTCATATGCCTTGACCTTTGGTGGACTGGAGTCCACCAATTTAATACACCCCATTAAATTGTCATCTCTGCCTTTAGCTGTGTTCCCTGACATCTCACATGCTTCCCTGATTGATGCTGTAATTTGACAGAGCAAGGAAAGTATTTCAGTCTCCTCTGCAGACTTTCCTCTTCATTTGCATTCATGACGCATGAGTTTCCAAAATGGACAGCTTAAAACAATGGAAGAAACAGCAGAATGAGGACATAAACGTTTAGGAAAAGGAGAGATTAAGATACTGGTCACAAGTGAATGTTTTGCAATGACCTCAGTTACTTAATTTTAGCTCAATTGTTCGGTTGCTCTTGTAAAGACTGAGGAGCTGTATGCAATATTCTTCATTTCACCAGCAGCTCAGAGACACAGCAACATTATCTTACCATGTTTGCTTTTGGGGTTTTCTTTGGTGATTTTATGCTTTACCGTTTGGGAATATACTTTAGGAATACCTGCCACATCACATACCTGAACATGGCTATTCCTGCCTTGTGGAAGTCTGTTCTATTTTGAGGAAAGGAACTTAAGCTTTCTGTGCTGATTGTTGCTTCTGTGACAAGCCAGTGGGCATGAGCTGAATTCAAACAAGGCATTTGTTTGTGGAATGACCCAAAGAAGAGCACAGCACCATCCCATACCGTACAAAGACAGCTGCTTAGAGACAAGAGAGGAGAATCAGTACAGGGTGGGAATGAGACATCAGTCTGTGCATTACAGTGACATGCTTTTGTCTCTGCACAAATGCACTGAAGATCCTTGTCGCAGTTTCTTCCTCTTCTGATCATCTCATTAACGAGTTATCCCCAGAAAGAAAGTGCACTTCAGGTAGGTTTGGAAATGTGACTTTCTCATGGCACATATTACTAGAATCCACAAGAAATCTTTATTAAGGTTTCATGGACATCTGCCTCACCATTTTGAAGTTTAAATTATAGAAGGATTGTTTCCAATTTTATTCCGTTTATCAGGATATGAGAGTTTAAATTTGGTTGTCAGAAACTTAAATGGACTGAGAATAGTTTTTGAAGTCAAAAATTATTACAGTCTCACACCTTTGTGAGAGAAAAGAATGAGGATGCTTAAGGGAAATGGATTTGTTAGGATGGGAGAAAGACATCCTTGCTGGTGATTCACACTATAATGATGTCTGACTCTTTTATTCTGAGCAGGAGCTACAAAGAGATGATTTTTCTATCTATTGAAGAGATTCAGTGAGGACAT